TAAAAGGCGGGACTTATTCCGCCATATTGCGTGTTGCAATGTTTCTCCCATTCATAAGTAATATTAGTTCACCATATTTGTATATCTAAAGTATATTTTGGTTAAGAAAAAATAAATAAAAGTGTACCTTTCAGGAAATTGCCCCAATGACAAGCATTTGTACACTTAAGGCACAATATTTACATATTTTTTTCACGGTTTACATCGCAGAACCTGATTTGACCAAGTGCAACATGTTCCTGGATCAACAGTGCTGAATGTATGGAGGGAAAGAGGAGTTGGGTTACTTTTATACTGTTGCCGCGGGTTGATTAAAGAATGTTTGTTCATAACTTTGAGAGAACCTTGCCAGAATGTTAGCCAAAGTTGTGAGAACATTCCCTGTTAGATGGGATAATGCTTCCCCTCAAAAAGAGTCAATAGCCAAATATGTTTTATTAACCAAAATGTATCTGAAGAATTGAATTCACATGTAAGAAAGGGTGATTTCACAATGGGCCAGCTGTTGCTCTTCAATTGTATATGCTGTGTATAGGTTTCAAGATCACAAAGTTACTTTGTCATTATTATGCAGGTTGTGTACAGTATATGCGTTTCTTACCTCAACAGTGAGATATTTGTAGAATTCCTTGCGAATTCCTAAATCAGTCATTTTTTTTCTGTAAACTTGGATGTCTGAAAGAAAGATAAGCGAGTTCAATGTGGGAAATATAAGCAGCAGAAACCACTGGGTGGCAATAGTGATCCTCTTTTGATGGTTGCACCTGTTTTGTTCAGAAGTGTTTTCTCAAAGTATATCACATCATTTTTCTAACATCTTTAAACAAATTTGAGAAAAAACACAAGAGTTCACAAACTTAAATAAGACTTTATGCTTTCTGAAAGTTTATAAAAGCACTTTTTATTTTGCAAGCTGTATCCACCAAGGTCACCATTTCAAGAGATTGATGTTTAAAAAGCATCCTTGAGCTTGTGGAAAGTGCGATATAAAATAAAATAAAATAAAATAAAATAAAATAAAATAAAATAAATAAGAGCACCAATAGAGTGACATGCATACATAATATGTTGGCATAACATGCTTTCAAAAACCATAGCAAAAGCATTTGAAAGATTTCTGAATCTAATATTTTGTCTTTTTAATTTGTTAAATATTATATTCTTCTTTGAAATCAAAATATAGGTGCTTTTTAAATTAAATCTTGTAGTTCATGTCCAGCTGCTTAAAGCATTACATCTGGTCTAGAGTCAGCATTCAGTCTAATTTGTCTTGGTTAAGCATGAATTCTTAAATGCAGAAATTTGGTTTAGTTTACCAGAAATCCCCCCTCAACTCTTCATCATGTTCCTCAAACCATTCCTAAACAATGTGTGCAGTGCATTATCCTGCTGAAAGAGGTCACTTCCACCAGGGAACACCATTGTCATGAAGCGGGTCTAACTGGTCTGCGACAATGTTTAGGTAGGTGGCACGTGTCAAATTTATGACTACATGACTGGCTGGACCCAGGGTTTCCCTAGCAGAACATTGCCCAGAGCATTACACTTCCTCCACCAGCTTGTCATCATCCCACAGTGTATCCTGGTGCCATCACTTCCCCAGGTAAATGGGGAATATGTACACAGCAGTCCACATTAGGTAAGAGAAAACTTGACTCATCGGACCAGGTGACCTTCTTCCGCTGCTCCAAGTTCCAGTTCAAAGCTTGCGTACCCATTGTAGACACTTTCGACGGTGGACAGGGGTAATCATAGACACATAGGATTGGTCTACGGCTACGCCGCCCCATACGCAGCAGAGTGCGGTGAACTGTGTGTTGTGACACATTCCTCCTCCAATCACCAACACTAAAGTGACTTGTGCCACAGTACACCTTCTCTTGACTCGGACCAGACATGACAGCTTCCGTTGCCCTTGTGCATCGATGAGCCATGGACATCGAACAACCTGTCGCCGGTTTGTGGTTTGTACCTCCTCGGACCACTGTTGGTAAATTCTCAACCCACAGGCCTTGTTGTTTCAGAGATACTCTGACTCAGTCGTCTTGCCATAATTTGGCCATTGTCAAAGTCGCTCAGATCTTTATTCCTGGCCATCTCTCCTGCATCCAACACCTTGAATACGAGAACTGATTGTTTGCTTAGCACCTAATCTACCCAGACCCAGATATGTGGCCTTGTTAGGAGAGGATATTCCACTTCACCTGTGACTGTTTATAATGTTTTGGCTCATCAGTAGCCTAATACCTCATTTAACTAATAGACAATAGCTATGTGATTATACGGAGGGTGGCTATAAGACGTATTTGGACAGATGAGACAAAAATAAAAATCTTTGAATGTCTTTGCATTATATGACAATATATCAAACCAAGTGGCATTTAATTTAAAGAAACATAGCACAAGCACAGTTTTCAAGCAAACATTTCACAAACAAAAGGTTTGCTGCTGTAGGTTTCAAATGATAAAACATCACTGTTCTTTAAAATGAAAACACAAATATTTGGACACTTCTTGGTTGTGAAACATTAGAAGAAAATGTGCATAGTTAATGTGAAAAACTAAACCTGTTGTTTCTCTGCTAGGGCTCCTGTGTGAACTTGAGAAGAACTAAAAATCACCTTCACACCAACTGATTAATGGTAACTAAAAATGGTTAGGGAATGTGAAGTTAGTTGTAATAAAAACATTTGCATAATTTGTTTGAAGGTGCAGCTTATTTTGTTATCTGCAATTGAATTCAGACACTTTAAGTGTCTTAGTACTTTTTGGGGCCCCTGTATTCCATGCACCATCCTCTGGTTGTTCTCGTTGCATATTGTATATCCAGCTGTGCATAGTAGGCTAGCTGCTTTATCTACAGCCAGGTTGTTAAAAAGTAATGCACAATAAATAGTGTTAGGCCTATTATAGTATAAACAATTAAAATTCGTACTGATTATACACAGCACAAAAGACAAACATAAACTTATTTAACAACTTTAAGTCAAAATAGCAAAGGAAAATCCATAATACTTCTGTGTAGTGTCCTACCTTTATAAGACTTCACAACGTCATCAGGACCCTACTGGAGCTGTAGGAGGGAAATATTTAGTATTCTCTGCTGCTCGCCACTCACATTTGTTTGTTTTACTAAACTTTTGAAAGTACAACTCGTATCTAGGCTATTAAATAGATGAGAATTACCTCAGTCTGCTGCTGTTACTGTTCTCCGCACACGCTTCTTCAGTTTCTTGTGCGCTTCAGGACAATGATCCACTGCTTCTGTCCACTTCACCTCATCTCTGTTAGCAGGACATGCACACCTGTAGAGTTTTGTTTCTTTACGCGACATAACGCTGTTTTAAGATTAATGTCATTGGAATTAGAATAGAAGAGACCGTTTTCGTTTTTGTGGCGAAATAAACCTCCATCATCGTGATCGGGGTTCCATTATTGGTTAATCTGGTCTGTCTGTACACTGTGCACGAATTACCTCCATTAGTGACGTCAGTTTAAAGTAGTAGCCATTTTTTTCGACGAAATAGGTTTGTTTATTATTTTACTGGTTCTTTGTCTACTGTTTATAATTATATTATTGTTGTTAAATTCTGTTTTGATGTGTAACTGTGTTTGGTTTTATATTTTCAATTAAAAAAAAACGAATTTCGATTAAATAAATCTGAATCGCAGTCACAGAACGATTTGCTGCAATAAAACCGCACGACCAAAGTTGTCTCAAGCAAAGTTATTGAATAATTGAACGCATATTGTTTCATGCATTGAGAGATGTTTTCCCGCACAAATTTACATTTAATGGTGGTACTTTTTTGAACGTGTAAATATGAGAAATTCTCGGGAGCATTGCCAATCTGAAAAAGGTTCATCCTGACACTGACAGAAAGCGAGTGGCCGATTAACTTCATTGATCTTGCGCGCATGCGTCAACCACAGCAGCAGAAGACAGTTGCCCTGCACTATTGTTGTATTATACTGCATTCGAACTGCATTCTATTGCACTGCATGCTCTGCATTGATTTAACAGTTGAAATCAACTTAAGAGATCAGAATAATATGACAAATTCCATTTTACAATCATAGTTGACTCAATAAATGTAACATTTAATTTTGACTATCTTGCCTTTAGTGATTAGGAAAATTTGCTCATATTGTTCTTTCATGGCTCATCATGAGACTTAATGGAGTTCTCAGTCAGGTTTCAAAGTATTTATTTTGTCTAGATGGTTCTCTCATATAGGAAATGAAACAAATAAATAGCCTAAAAAACATCTGAGAGATTGTCTGAGTTCATATTCATCTGAAAGCCTCGTTTGTTTCACATTTGAGATGTTTTTTTTTAGACTTTTGAGAGTTTAATTCTCCGGTCATAGGTCAACCATACAGCCTACAGCTGCAGAGAAAAGGACATTGTTGACTAGAATAATCCGTGTTTGTTTGGCCAGTGTGAACTAGCCTTTACAACAAAGCATACTGTATATCATTTTATATTATTTATCAAAGTTACTTAAATTGACTAGTTAGCCAGCATTTAGCTGCAGTGTTACTTCTCTTTCTCTATTTTACACTATCCTTGACATTAATAACGTGTTAGATAGGCTAGCTCAAGCTGTTTTGAATTGCTCATGCATTGCATTGTACTGGATCCCATTGAATCCCATACCACTTTGGTATTGCATTGTGTTGTAGCCTACTGTTCTGAACACTGAATGCCCAAGCTGGGGGGACTGGGGGCCCCCCAGTCCCCCCAACACACACACACACACACACAAAATGAAAGCAAAGAATGAAATTTCTTTCATGTGAAATGACTTTCTAGCAATGTTATAAATGTTGTTAGTGTGCATAATGCACAACCTTCTTCTGGCATTTAATCATTAAAAAAACCTTTAATTCATCCCCTATTCTACAGGAACACGTTCAACGGTTACCGTATTCGTGACATTATTAATAATAATGCGAATGACTGGAGGAATGTAGCCTACAGCTTGTGCGCATGCGCGTCAGGACGAAAGCCCCTCATCCGAAAAATCTGATGTCATCTTGCCGGCAATATTTTCCTCTCTGTCTGTATTTTCAATTTCAATCATATTCCACTCCATTACAGATAGTGTGTGTAATTGGTGAAGGGTGTAGTAGACTGTGTGTCGTTTGTTTCTGTTTGCACCCACATCATGCATCTCAATGGAGCAGCAGCAGCTGATCTAGACGGCTTGTTTTGTTGAATGAAGGTGGACGCTTAGGACACAACAGGTTATTAGCGTTTTTAAAGGAGATAAATACGATGTCTGCGAGAGAAAGACTGAAAGAGAAGATGGTAAAAGAGAGCGTGACACTGCTGCCATGCTTTTATTTCGTGGAGGTAAGTGACTATCTGTTTACATTTGCACGTTTGATTTGACAGGTGACAACCTAGGAGAATATCTTATCAGAATAAGATGACAATTCCATCAGGATAAATATTTAGCCTATGTATTACAGTCTGAATCTTCCATAAATGTAAAATGTAAATCAATGTATGACTAGCAAACTTGTTAAATTAAACCTGAGGAGATTTTATTGCCCATGATGCTTCATAGATCATGAATGGACTTCTTATTCAGGTTTCAAAGTATCAAATTCATGTCAGATGTTTCTGCTAAATTTCTTAGGAGAAATCAAACAAATGTTTGAGTTCATATTATAATTATCCAAAAGAAGAACTAAAAACCTATTTGTTATCTATTGAATCTCATTGCTGTAGGAGAAACAATCGAGCTTTTTAGACGTTTTATACTTTATAAGCTTTATTCACTACGAAAATTATGTTTTTTGTTGCTGCTGTTGACATAAAGTAACAAATTAAATAATAATAAATTAAATAATGAAATATATATTTGATATACAATTTTAAATATTTAAAATAATTTTTAAATTCAATATAATATCGAGTATTTATTTTAAACGTTTCTTTTTCTTCATAGCTGTTTGTAATTGATCTGAATCTTTGACTGTTTTTTCTGGCTTTTTGAAAGTCACAGTTGAAAAATCAAACTCAATGCTAAGGATTTTTTCTGGATTGGTTCAAATTTTTACTTGCCCTGCCAACATTTTCACTGGCCCCACCACAAAAAGTGATAAATAAATAAAATAGGCCTAGCCATTGTCTTAATTGTTTTTCTTTTCTTTGTCCTGTGTTGCTTGATTAACATTAAAACAAAGACAGTTTTTTTAGGCTGCTGTCACTTTAAGAGCTGCAAGGATCCAATATGTTACACATGCATTTTTTCTCAACTTTTTATGTTCAGTTAAGATACAACAGACTATGTTTATAGGAAACTTGGCGAGACCAGCATTTTTTTTAACCTAATTTTGTGTGAAAATGCCCGTTCAAGTGCAAGAAGACGTGAAAGAGAGCTCAATTCAGCATTCACACACTGTCTGAGAAGCGGCTTTTAGGCGGGTGCTTTGATGGGTGCGCACACAAAACTCCTCACACTATTGGATTGAGTCCTCTTCCGCGTCTTCTTGCACTTGAATATTTAAATTGTCAAGGATTAAAAACACATGCAAGCTGACAGTTGCGTCAACTGTCCCGAGCAATGTTTGCGCTGGTCTCGGGCCATCGGGGAGTCCTTATTGTCGAGCCCTGTAGTATTTACTTTGGATTGCGTTTAATAAGCACAGTGTGCAAACAAAAATGAATCTCACTAGCTTTATTATTTTTGCATTAAATGAAAATAATCAATGGGGGTTGTATAAATAATATCATAGTTATGACTAACTATGGCATAGAGTGATGTCAGCACTGGGATGCTGTGCTTCTGTCAGCTCTTCTTAGATGTTCGCCCCAGGAGTTACTGCTCTGCTCTCCATACATCATGAAGGGGTTAGTGGAATATATGTAGGTCAGTGTGACATAAAGAATTGAGGCAGTGCAGCTTTCACACCACACATGCTTACACAAAACACGTGATCTAGTACTTAAGAGGAAGATCTAAGCGTGCACTCATACATTATGCAGGGTTGTGCTGAATCGGACATTTTCATTCATTTATTCATTCCTCCATTTGCTGTTTTTCTGTGAGGTTTGCAAAAGTCTTTGTAAATACCAAGGTCTAGAAGATCAGGATTATCATATGTGAAGGTTTTAAGCAGAAACAGCTGGATTTTGTGCTTGTAAAGATCTCATTGAAGTTTCCTCAGGTGACAGAAAGTGCACACCTGACCTAAGCACATCTCCTCAGCAATGCTCTTATCGTAACCGGTCCTTCACCAAGCGGACACCATCTGTACCTGCTGTGATGGTGCCTGTCCCACATGGATCTGAAAATAGCCTCTAAGAAACACTATCCCCCCCAATTACAGCAATCAATTATTAAGACCTCAGTGTCACCTCTTCTTTTCATTTGGGATCATCTTAAAACCAACATGAAATGCATTCACATCCCATTATTCTTCCTTAACATGATTGGAAATGGATTTTCAATCAGAAGAAAATGTGAAAGTATTTTATTTGATCTATTTTTATGCTTATACTGTATATACTGTATCTGTAATCACCTTAATTATTCCACATATGAGCAAGTATGTTTGCAAAATCGGCCAGTATATTTTATGGAAGATTGTTTTGTCGTATTTACCATGGTAAGCCAGTTATTAAAAGCCCTTCATTAAATTTCTTTACAGTAGAGTGATCGAGGTCAGTTTGCGGGCATTTGATATGCAGATGGTTACAGCAAGCAGCTGCCGTTCTGTGCTGATTCTGCAGAGTTGCGCTGTGGCCGACCGATACCACTGACCCATATTTTCTACCAAAGCACTGGCACTTGGGACAAACCGTAGGAGATTTACAGTCCAGCCGACCATAAACATGAACGTCAAAGAGAATCGTGACACATGATATGGCACACATCAAAAGCCTACTTTTTAAATTACAGTAGATTTTAAGTTTTACATACCAGATTAGATAATTGTTCTTACTGAGCCTTCTCCCATCAGAGCACATTTCTGAAGGAGGGGCTTCATAGAGACAGAAACTAAATGGAGCGTTACTGACAGATTGGGAAGATAGGTGCTGCAACAATGTAAAATATGTGAAAAATGTATTGTTGAACATTCAAGCATGAAAACCTGTTCTAATGGAGTCCAAAAACAAAATCAACACTTTGAAAGGGGGCATAATTGATCCCCTTTAAGATTTATGTATTTGAATGACATATCATTGCATTAAGATTTAACATAAACAAACCAACAAACTTAATTTGATGTATATTTATCAGTCATTCATTACATAAATGAAACGGGTAATATTTATGCACTTATATGCACTCAAACAGGGACAGAAACATATTGCACACGAACAGATTTTCAACCAGAGTCTCGACCATAGACAGTATAAGAAGTGAACAGAGCCATCTCATTGGAACTCAGTTGAGACAGTTGAAGCCCATTTTTAGCGATTTTTGAGCACTTCCGTTCCTGACGCGCAGACTCAAACTAAGCTTGATGACGTGAGCAACCTGTCTGACAGACGTAAATCTTCTAGTAGCTGTGCGTGAAAATTGCCAACGTTAATCTTGCAGAGACAGGGAACTTGAGCAAAGGGTTCTTTGGCGTGAGTGAGCAGGAGTAAGTATTCCGTTGCTTTTATGGACTCATTATCTATGGGCTTCTCCCTTGACGGGACGTCCCCCCGATTGCCTGCGAGCTTCTCCTCCTGTCTGTACGGTAATTTCTGTACAGCGTGACAGAGAGTCGAGTGGTTATGACACAATCGTTAGCCTATTTTTACAAAAACTGTTTCTACCGGGCCGTACTGTAACATAGAAGGTAATGGAGCCCTTTATACATTGTCGTGTTTCTTCAGAAATAAATAATGGACAAATGGAGTCTTTAAACCCCTCAGATGTAAAGTTATTCGCTGTCAAAGTGACGTCAAAATGAATGGGAGTCAATGGAAATGCTAACGCAAGTGAAGTTCTGCTACAAGATGGCGGCACCCGGCCGGCTTCAACTTCCGGTCGATGGATTACCCCCTTGCTCTCGACTGTGAACAAAGGAAATCTCACAAAATCTCGCGAGACTTCAGAATAAGCTTGGCGGACGATATGCAGGAAGAAATTGCGATGATAGTGTTTGGAATGATTTTCACAGAAAAACATTCGTGCTGTTGCCACAAATCAACAAGCTGATCCTCCATCTCTGCTGTCCACATCAATTTAACTTTTTGCAACGCCATGACTGCGTTTGTTATGCTTCCTTCTTCCATCATCTCGCTTTCTGATTGGATATTGTTTCGTTTCACGTGATAATCTCCAGAGCGTGCGCACGTTTGTCATCGGGGTTCCCCCCACACATCAGGATATTCAACATGTTGAATATTTACGATTCGCGATCGGGGCAGCTCCGACGTTCTTCCGAGCAGGTTCGGACACTCTTAACACACCTCACACCAAGGGAAAATCTGATAAGATAATCTGTAGAACCATCAAGATAATCGGGACATAGCTAGGAGTGTCGGAAGGGGGAAATCGGCCCAAAATCAGCCCGATTATCTTTTGGTGTGTACCCAGCATAAGCCATACCAATTCACCCCCAGTACCAATCAAATAATATTTTCACCACATGAGTACCTAATTTAAAAAGAGCTTTCTCTATAATGTTAGTGTGACTCCTTATAGTTTTACTGCAATTCTGTGAATCTGTCACCATTGGTCTGTTTTATTAATGACCAGGGGGCTGTTCCATAAATGAAGCTTAGAAAAGCGGGGATTAAACTCCAACACCGGACTTGAATGAGCCTAACAAATAAGTTGGGGCTAAAGTGGTTCCATAAAAGGTAATTGAAGTTCACACAATCTCACTAATTTGATCCAGGTTTATCTAGTCTAGATAATTGCGTGTGCACGCGTTTCTGAAGCAGCCCTAGAGGTCGATCGTGGATCAAATCGATCCATCATCAAACAGCGTAGTTTTTGTGCTGTTTTATGCATTTGTGACATGTTTTTTTGTTCCCCCTCAGTGCAAAAATTACATTTTACAGTTATATTCTCCATCTGTAAATGTTAGAAAGTCGTGCAAATGTATCCATTTTGCTGCTAATCTTCATATTGAACGAGCGCTGCTGCGCGCATGCGCGCCAAATAGGAGCGCAATAATTCTGATTAAAAAATATACATTTTGCTTGGAAAATTAAAATGCGATATTTTAGAACACTAGAAATATCTTCTAATTATAATAATTTCTCTTTAGGATGTTGGATAAGTTGCAGTGAACTTCTAGCTCATTACACTCATTTTATACTTCTAATAGGCCTAAATAAAAAAAATTGAACAGAATTCGCCTAATTCAGGGAAGATTTTTTTTTAAGAAACTAAATATATAAAGATACAAAATATAGTTTTGGGTATAGGACCTATGCTAATAAAGATATAGGCCTATACTTATTTAGAATGCTGAGAATTGCAGCTTTTAATGCAATGATTTTTTTTTGAGAAAGCAAGAATCCCCAGTTTTAAATGAGTGGTTAGATTTAGTTTCTAAAGTACATTATGGAGAGGATAACATTAAATTAAGAACAAATGTATACATTTTGAAAAGATATGTGCAACTCTAAAATCAAAGAATATTCCATAAAATAAAGGAATATATATTGGCCTACATTTACTACATTTTTATGTAACCTTCCCTTTTATTTCTAGTTATTTGTAATTTTATTTATCTACTTATTTAATATTGAATATTTGATATTTAAATAATATTACTTGAATAACTATTAGGAATTATGTGTCATTCATTATAAGAGTTTGATATATGTGAATGTTATATTTTTATTAATATTTATTTATTGTTTTATTTATATGTATGTGTTGGTATTATCACAAAAGAAAAAAAAGTAGAAGGAAAAATAAGGAATATTTATTGGGGGAAAATAATGTCTTTAAAGGAACTGTCCATTTGTATAATTGTGTTAAATGTGTTTGAATTGAAAGACATAATAAAGTACATTTTATATATATATATATATATATATATATATATATATATATATATATATATATATATATATATATATATGAGACAGTGTAGAAAAAAGAATTCTCTGATAACCGAGGCATTCCTTAATTAAAATGTCTTTATTACAAAAATGACATGTCCTAAACGGACAACTTTAAAACGCCTTATATATGTGTCTATATTGTAGCCTTATTTAAGTTGATTTTCTGTATACTGTGTATTTATAAAGTCCAATAATGGTATTAGAGACTGTCAGTGGTAATATCATTGTGTTCTTGTCGGTCAGTGTTGAGGATCTGTGTAACAACTGAGGCTTAGCCTGACAGTTAGCCTGCCCTGGACCAGGCTAGTTTCCCAGCATAAGTTGCCAGGGTAACTGAGTTTGAACTTTTTTAAGTTTGATTTATGAAACCGAATCTACCAAAAATAAGCCTGACTAACCGAAATAAGCCTGGCTTATACTCTAATCTTGGTTTATGGAACAGCCCCCTGAACTCATTAAATGGCTTTCATATACCTAGGATATTATTTATTTTGTAACTAACTACTGCCCTATCTGGGTTTATTTTGCAATAATGTCAGGCAGACAGTATGTACATTTCCAAAGGGACATTATGTGGTGGACAATGCAATACCTTGAAAATGTTTGTTGAAGAGTTATGTGATGTTTTCTCGTCTCTAACAGCTTCCTCTCCTGGTCTCATCTGTGGTCAGTGTGTATTTCCTGGAGTGGACGGACATTTTCAAACCGGTCCGCTGGGGTTTCAGCTGCCACGACCGCAGTCTGAGTCTGCCTTATATCGAACCCACGCATGAGGTTATTCCCTTCCTCATGCTCCTCAGCCTCACTTTCGCAGCTCCTGCTATTACGGTCAGTCTAACCCTGTAGTGCTACATACACACACACACACACACATACATGCACTGCAAGATGCACTCATGCTTCTGGATACTGTACATTGGATGATGTCAGAGAGATAGGACATGTTACCTAGCCTGGGAAAACCCAGACAACTTCCGGCAAATTTAGATTTGCTTTGAAAGTTAGTCTGGCAAAGAGCTCATTCAAGCTCAATTCCAATCCGCCGAAATCGAGGCACCAATCAGAAACGTTGGGGCGGGCTTTACACGATGACGACAGCGCTGGGATTTTGAAGCAGATTTTGTAGCCCACATTACAAAGATGGATACCGCCGTCGAACATCACTCGTTCGAATCAGCTATCGCATCTGTTTTAAGCGATTTGAACGTTTCCTTTTTGTTAAAAACCGAGCAAAGAACAACACTCTGAGATGTTTCTCCGCCGCTCTGCATACGTCATCTCCTTCATCGCTCTGATTGGTTTAGGTCTATCCGCGACGTCCGTTGGTGACGCCCCTCTGGAAATGATTTGTCTATGACGCTTTGCCAGACCATAACTCAGTTACAACTGAGAATGGTCTGGTTTTAACCAGGCTACATGTTACCTGCATATGGGTAAAAATGTGTCTTGATTGTGTGTGTATTCAGGCACTTTGTGTTTCAGCCAAGCCGGACATGACTGGAACAACATTCTATTCAAACAATCATAGCACTAATGCCAGTCTCGCAGTGCCAGAGCTATCGGCATAGAGTCTAGTCTACTTTGCATCTTATTCTAGCCAAGAAACTCTCACTTAGACATAGACTGTCAGAATAACATAAAGCACACAAGCAGGTTGTATTCAGTGGACTAATTTTTAGTTACTGTATGCACTTTTCTATTCATTTTATTAGTATTAAATATATTAATAATAAGAATAAATGTTTCTTAAGCAGCAATTCAGCATATTAGTGTCACATTCATGTTTAGTTTATGTCTTTGCCTGATTTGCCTTATTACCAGTACACATTATACAATTTTGGTCTGTCCCAGACAAAAGATGACCAATCGTGGCGATTTCTGCGGTCTTGGCTCCTAAACAGTGGTTCTACGTCACACAGTGAGAGAGGTTCAAAGACGCCCGTTGTCACGGTTTTTCGACCAAAGATAGCCTGGTATAATTCTCTGACAGTGTCAGAAGTTTAGCATGATCATCTCACGGTGTTTGCTGTTACGACCTACATCTACTGACTAGCCAATAAAAATGCAACATGAAATGGCGTATTGATCAATGACACGACGCTAAAACGTACAAATTCTTACCTCAAGCTCCATTTGCAAAAAATTTCCTTTTTTCCCTAGCATTGACCATATTCTCCTCTTTCGCTTCCTCTTCCTTTTTTCAGCGCACATAAAAACCACAATTGCCTAAGTGAGATTCATCTTGCTCTATTTGTTCACCAAGTTTTATTCTTCTATACTAACTTGCATCGTAGCTTACGATTCAATAGGAGTCATCATCGTACAGTCTACATACGTCTTACACAAGTTTATTAGATCCATGTCGTACAGTGTGATTTGTAATTATCTTATAGGATTGCTAAAATTGTACAGTCTGTAGCAGGCATTAGTTCTAGTTCATTCATTAGTTGCAATAGTCCTGATTAGTTCACTCCTGTTCCCTGTTCCTTTGTTCTTTCTTGGGTTATAATGCACAGCCCAACCATGACAGTTGATTTCTGAAGGATCATGTGACACTGAAGACTGGCGTAATGATGCTGAAAATTCAGCTTTGCCATCACAGGAATAAATTGCATTTTGCAGAATCACTGATCAGGATTTCAGATTATGTCACAGACAGACAACTAAGCTAAAAGTGGAAAATACAGCTATGCTCATAAATATTTCACTTGCAGCTAAATGCGTCAAAATTTTTTGAATATCTTTTCCAAACTAAACTGAAAACTCAATGACAGGAAAGTTGTTCCAGGAGCAACTAGGATGTGAATGCAGGAGCATGTCCTACTTGAGTAAATGTATAGTTTGCCTGTGGTCTATTATCACAGCTGACACACACCAACTGGCCTCCCCTTCAGAGCCTTATCTGACACAGTACAGAAAAGAAAGCTTGTGCACGAATAGCTCAAATACACAATGAGATTTTCCTCACGCTACTCCGTGAGCAATAAGCTGTCAGATAGCATCTTTCTCTCCTCAACTCTATGACACCTTCAGTACATCAGTACACTGCCAGAACGTCTGCCAGCCCTCTGAGGATGCCCTAATGACACAGTGAATTTGCTGTTCTCTTCTTCTAGCTAGCAAGGAGTCCTCAGGTTAACTGCTAGTATTAGAGGAGATGGGTGCAGTTTTGCAGCAGGCTTTATTGTGGATTTTTTGGTAGTTTGGTTGTTCACTCGTACTGAAAATCGGATTATTTCACACTCAAATTCATGTTGAGTTTTTGGGGCGGATTGCTGTTGTTTGTGAAATGCAGGATGGTTAGTTTCACAAATGCTAATGGGCACTTGGCGCTAATGAGTTGGTTGTGGTTCTCATCTCTCTGATCCTCTGAACTTATTTGTAGATGATAGTTACTCTATTTAGAGGCAAATTAAAGAATCAAACATAGACTGAGATCATCTTCACACTTGGTAAATTTTCTAAATACACCGCAGGCATTTTTTTTATAGTAAGGTCAAACATTTATCAAGCATGTCATCAAATTTCTTTACATTTCATAAGATGATTTTTTATCTTCAGGCAAAAACATAATTAGATTGAATATATCATATTAACATGAATCAAAAGCAATCAAACATTATACAAAAATCTCCAGTACAATAACATCTAAATATGCCCAGGAGGTAATTGTATTGGTCAGACGGGGGTTTATATAAACTTTGTCTCAGATTTTACTTTTAGACTTCCTTAGGAGAAATAAAAATGCACACATTAGTTGACATTCAACAACAGTATAGAGCTATAATATTAATGCGGATGAATAATCTGGCCTTGGGGGACTTTAATGAAAAATGTTCATACTGCAACCTCTGACATTCTTTAGCAGACTTTGCAAATATGAGCACGGTTTGAGACTTTGTTCTCTTTTGAAAGTACAGAGAAGACATGTGAAATGAATGGATTTTTTTCAGGACAAAAAAAAATATTTATCATTCCTACTGTACAGGAGAGAGAAACAGAAAGCACTCACTGAACGACTAAAATGACTAGCATTACAAAGACATCCGATGTACTTTTCTCTGCAGCATGTGGCCACCGTGCTAGCTATTTTAGGTAATTAAATAATTTAGTTTGAGTAGCAAGCATAGAGAGCTCTGATCACATTTTCATCTTTTCTCAACAAGTTCTACTGCATAAAAATGCATAGCAAAGTATGTCTAAAAACTCATTTTAGCTGTCCAATAATGACAGTCATTAAAAATGACCCACTCCATCCTTTCCTTAGTGCATTCTGGGTCTAAAATCTGTTTACCTACATAGGCCTGATTTAGCATCAGGCAGGAAGTGACTGCAGGCATTGAGATGTCCTGTTGTTTCTCCAGGTGTCATGACACGATATCAGTGTCTGAGAGCCGAGTTGGTCAGATGGGATGGGATGGTGGGATCTGCATGCTTCCTGGGATCCGATTCAGGACATGGTGTGGCACATGGACAAGCCAATGTTTAGATCGTATACTTAGCACCTCCCCCACTAGGCTGGAGCGTAGAGCACAGCCGATATCAATCCCATGATCCCACTGGGATTTAAACTCCTCAACTGGCGACATACGCAATATAGAATAGAAGATTGCTAGCTGTTGAGTATGTACAAAGTCCTTTTAGGCAAGTCATGCCACTCGGCCGCCATCTTGGCAACGCCTCCGGGCAGCTATTTCAGACTAACAAGACCAGGCTCCTATCTAAATGAATGGGCAGAGAGTCAGAACTGCACTTTCACTGGTCACCAGGACATAAAAACTGCTTGTATAGAAACAGCAGTAAAAGATGAGAAAAATCGCTGAAAAAGTTTGATGACTTTGCCCCAAAATAAGGTTTAAAAGGCCTTTTTCCCCACAGGCTATACGTTTACTACGCATGCGCAAGGGTTCTCGTCTCTGCTGTCGCAAACCTCAACTGTGCGTCAGTGGAACCAGACGATAGGCTTACATGTTTCCCGGCTTGACTGTTAAAAGCAGACGATTGGCTTTCCAGCGGGAGGGGCGGGGCATGTGCATACAACCGCCATCTTTGGCGTTACGGGTTTTCCCTATATAGTTGTATTGAGGATTGAGGAAGTGGCATGTCTCTATATAAATTGTCTCTGGAATGTACAGCCTAATTGAGCTAAATAATTTTTTTTTTTAAATAAAATCAATTATATATAACAATACATTCTTTAAAAATACACATTTAACAATGTATTATATTGTATAAATATATAGTACTGTATATAGTTCACTTCAGCACTTTACAGCCCTAATGTTTGTGCAGAAGTCAGTGGATGCGTGATATCAGAAGACAGAGAGGTGAAACGATGTGGACAGATCTGGAGCAGATTACGGATGGATGTGCCTTTGATGCACAGTGACAGCCCTGCTTAAGATGGGCATTAATACATAAGTGTGCAATGATCAAAACGGCCGCTCTCTCAACCCATGAGAGAGCTGATTGCATTATGGCTCATCAAAACTGTGCATTTACAAGTAGACAAGGACATTATGGCTGTTCTGTTTAGAGGCTTCACTTCAGAGCTTCTGGATTTGGTGTCATGGTAAAAAGAACCCCCTGAAGAGTTAGTATGAGACCGTTGAATGCAATCTGAGAGGAGAGATATCCACCGTTCTGAACATTTGATCCACTCCAACCTCTGTCTTGGTGTGTTGCATGTTCACAGATCATGATCGGAGAGGGGATTCTGTTCTGCTGTCTGTCGCGAGCGCAGTGCGGAGGTGGAGCTGAAGCCGATATCAATGCGGCCGGCTGCAACTTTAACTCTTTCGTCCGGCGAGGTGTCAGGTTTGTGGGTAGGTCACATTTCTAGCAGATAATATTCTTTCGATCCTGATTAGTCCTTATTCTGTTAAAGGACCACATGGAATGTTACATTTTTGTGGCTGGAATTCTGTGGAAGGAAATTCTGAACAATGTTCACGAGGCTACCAGTTATGCATTAAATGCACACACACACAAAAAAAACATATGTATCTCTCAGAACATGCATCTAAATATTCCTTGCAATAAAATGACAAAATATCATTGGACATATTGGTATATCGACGGATAAGACTTTTTAATGTTATCGTTATCAGTAGAATAAGCTGATTAATTATAGCCAAATGATCATGGGATCCCACATTATTTCTAGTTGTCTAACTTGAAGGCTCCACACAAAACAGATTGATATGTAAGGGATAAATGTACATCCAGCCGGTTGTTATCTCTGTCTTGCATCAGCCTGAAGGGGGTTTATTCTGAGATAACAACCGGCTAGATGTACATTATCCCGCTTATTACACGGCTACTTGCCACATAAATAAATAATTAGACACGAAATATTGATCTGAGTTCAAATATTTTATTAGGTCTTTAAACTCAAAGCTTCCGCGGAGAGAGCAGTTGCTAGTGCAGCAAGTTCAAACTAGACGGACATTTAAGAGATACGGTATCCAGTCATACACAGGATTTCGCCACATAAATAATTATGGAGATAAGAGATATTGATTTCGGATTAAACTGTTTTAAAATCGTACCTGTTTGTATCTTATAATCCAACAGTGTACAAAGCAATAGACACAAAATGGCAGCAGCTGCGTTTGAATGAAATGGAGAGCGAGTCCACGATACTGGATGGCATAATTAAATAACTGTACACAAAATATTGATTTGACTGAGTTTTAATATTTTATTAGCTCACCAAATGCAAAACTTTCACACACAAAAAAACAGTTCCTAGCAAGCGTATAGCGCTACTGACTTTAGTAACCCGGATGAGCCTGCGCTATCTGTTTTCAGCGGTTGATATCTGGGAATAACATCCCGCTGGATGGCGCGATTGACCAAATCAGAATCAAGGATTCCCCAGAGCTGTGTAATAAATAAAATTATCCAATATACTTGTTATCAACTTAAAGTTAACAATAAATACCAGTAATAATCAGATATCGGTGCATTAAAGTTCTTTTTCTTTTCAGGCGTTCACGTGTTTGGCTTATGTGCCACTGCTTTGATTACCGACATCATCCAGTTGTCGACGGGTTACCCCGCCCCTTACTTCCTGACTGTCTGCAAGCCCAACTACACTTACCTCAATGCCTCCTGTGAAGAAAGTTTCTTCATCCTGGAGGACATCTGCTCAGGATCTGACGCTGCTGTCATCAACGCCGGCAGGTACAGCTCTGATTCTTGGCAAACGGAGATAGATCTCTGTTGGATTAACAGTGCCACAGTCATGTGAAACAGATTATCTTAACACCCGCTGATACAGACAAGTTGATAAAAAATCTTTAAGTACTAGTCACGTGTGGATTCTTGACACTCAGGAATTCATACGAACGATAGAGGCACAAGAGCCCATACAGATCAAAGCCAAGCGTCACTGCAGCCTATGAATAGGGCCTGTAGATTAACAGAACAGCTTTTGATGTACTTTTTAATAAGGTTGGTTTTCAAAGGAACGGATGAGGCTGGTGGTGACCATCTCTCCACTAGTGTAGATTCGCTAAATAATGAAGTACTAAAGTGGCTTATACATTTCTGAGCATATGTATGCTGACAAATACAAAGATATTGTTTACCCCATTTATAACTCCCCCTCTGTCTGAATTAGATTCGCTGTTGTGTCAATTCCGGGACCCTTTATTTGTTGTAGGCCCGCAAATATAATCTGATGTCTCAGGTTTTGAAAGTGTAAATAATATGGAAGTTAATTGCATCCTTTCCCCAGACCTTTTTTTTTTCAAAGGTATATGCAGTCAAATCAGGTTGTTGTTTCCTGCTTATGTGAACTGTGCTACTGTGAATGTTTATTTATCCTCTAAACAGTCAGAGAAGATGCAGACACACCATTAGGTTCAACAGATTCAGTGCACCATGGGAGTCTCCCAAAGAGCCAATAGCCATGGGCATAAACAGTGTCTCTATAACATTCACATTAGTAATTACTAATCACACAGACAGAATCTATCTATCTATCTGTCTATTAGTGCTGTCAAAATTAACTTTCAATTTAACACTATTAACGCATCATCCAGGTTTTTTTCCCCTTCATGCTTTTGTGAGGATTTTGCTTCTGATTTTGATGAGGCTTGTAAGCTGGTCTCTCTTGACTGTCCCTCAAATAACAAATAACTACCTGTCCTGTACTGACATTTTAGACTTTATTGCTCCATTTTGGCTGAACCATGGCTAAATAATGATACACAGGCTCTGAGATGAGTATGTCGGTGCGCAGAATGGAAGTGAAAAAAAAGATAAGTTGCATAAGTCTTTAGAGATATTACGTACATCATTAACAAACTATCAAAAAGCTGTGAAGGAGGCTAAATCAAAGTATTTCTCTGACATCTTAGCTAGAAATGATCAAAGACCCAATATTCTTTTTTCTACAATTAACTCTGTTATAAATCCTTCTATTGATCTGCACTTTGATGACCCAGCCACTGCTTGTGAACACTTTTTAAGGTGCTTTACAAACAAGATACGTGACATTACAGATTATTGTCCCCATAAACTATGATCCGACGTCCTCCATCTTTTAATGCCTTTGAAACTATCTCTATAAACACTCTTCATGAAATGGTTACGAAGTTAAAACTAACCACATCTGTAACTGACATTATTCCAGCGCGCCTACTTATTCAGGTTTTTGATGTCATTGGGGCTTGCATCCTATCAATAATAAATAAGAGTGTTTTCTATAGGATTTGTTTCAAATTATTTAAAGCATGCTTTTGTTAAACCTGTTGAAAAAATCAAACCTTGATGTGACAGTTCTCTTGAATTTACCTTTTATCTAAAAAATCCTTGAGAAGGTAGTTTCTGTCCAATTATTAAAAAAAATTTAGATTCAAATGGAGTCTTTGAATCTTTTCAGTCTGGTTTTCGGAAACATCACAGTACAGAATCTGCTCTTTTAAGAGTGTCAAATGATATTTACTCTGAGTACTCTGAGTATTACTTTGAGTGCGGCCTTTGATATGGTCAATCACGATATTCTTATTTCTCATCTTGAACATTGTGTGGGTATTAAAGGTCATGCATTGAACTGGTTCAAATCTTATTTGAACATTATAACTTTTTCTTTCTATATAGATGGATGTTTATCCTCCAAATCACGTTTGTCCTGCGGGGTTCCCCAAGGATCTATTCTTGCACCCATTTTGTTTTCTATATATATGCTCCCTTTGGGCTCAATTTTTAGAAAACACAGAGTATTATTCCATTGTTATGCAGACGACACTCAATTATATGTGCCCATAATGACAATGCTGGTCTACGTGCTTTAACCGCTTGTTTGTCAGACATTAAGGCATGGATGTCCAATGATTTTTAAAATATCAATGAGAGTAAGACTGAGGCAATTGTGTTTGGACCATTAGCTGTCTCTGGCAGCTTAAATTAAGTGTCGGCTTATGTAAAGCCATCGGTTAAAACCTTGGGTGTTGTCTTTGACTCTGCCCTGTCATTTGATAAGCAGGTAAATGCAGTAGTAAATTTGTGCCTTTTCCAGCTAAGACTACTGGCTAAAGTTAAAAACGTTTTAAACCCCTGCTGAGTTCGAGAGACTAATACATGCATTTATATCTTCTTGTCTAGACTATTGCAATTTGATTTATATAGGTATTAGTCAATCCTATATGAAGCATTTGCAAATAGTCCAAAATGCAGATGCTAGACTCCTCATTGGCACACATAAATATGAGCACATTACCCCCGTCTTGCTCTCTCTGCATTGGTTGCTAGTATGTTTTAGAATAGAGTTTAAGATTTTAGTCTTTGTTTTTAAGGTCTTAAATGGGCCGGCACCTTCTTATTTATCTGAACTTGTGACTGTTAACATATCTGCTAGATGTTTACGGTCATCAAATCAAAATCTGTTGAAGGTTCCCAGATCACGGTTAAAAAGAATGGGAGACCGGGCTTTTGCCATAGTCAGCCCCACATTGTGGAATAGCCTACCGTGATCTATTAGGGTAATCGCTAATTTTAAGCAAAACTTAAAACCTACCTTTTAGAGAAGGCTTATAATATGAGAGTCTTACTGAACTTGTTTCTCTGTATTTTATTGTTTTGATTGGTGTTTTTATATTACTTTTCCCATTTTTGTACAGCACAGTGGTTGACCGCGGTTTTATTGTGCTATATAAATAAATAAAATAAACTAAACACACACACTCGTGCACTCAGAAAGCCGCTTCAGACAGCGCTCGAACGGACAAAATTATGCCAAAATGCCCTTTTTGTCGAGTATCCTTGCAAGCACAGCCTCAAATGAGTTAAATGAAGTCTTAAATGAACGTAAAGAGTTGTGAGAAAATGGGATGCGTGTCAGATCCACGTGATGTGCATCAGGTCTTAAAGTGACCGCTGCCTAATAAACCTGCTGCTGTCTGTCATTAAGGATAATCAAAGAACAAAAGAAAAAGAGAAAATCACTCACTGCACTTGACTGAATAACTTTTGTAGTCTATATTTAATCTATAATTTATGCAGTTAAGAATGTGAAGTGTTTGATAACTTCAATTTCTCTATTTATCCTACCTGTTAGACCTACCTGATAATCTTAAAGCACTGTTTACCAGGTTACATGGGTCAAAAACAATAAATGTTTGTGCATTTTGACAGGGCAAGTAAAAATCTGAACTAGTCTGAATGGCTATAATGGCTCCAATTAAGGGGAAAAAATCTATTTCATAGAGACATCAGTAGCAGTATTGGTATATAGAACACCAATTACAGAATGAGAAGAGAACTGTAGTTAGATTTTCACCTCTTGAAAAAAACAAAACATAGATTTACTTTGGGGAAGAGGCCCAAGTCATATCTATGGTCTATACGGTAATAGCAATGCACTTAAAATCAATTAAACGCCCTAGCAACTGCATAGCAATACACTAAAAAACACCTCTAACGCAATGTGTAGGAATGTTTCAAATGTGTCTGCTGTATTCTTGTTTCAAACTCTTTTGATGCCAGAACTGATCGGAATTGCTTTCATTTATTTTAGAAAATCCTTCCCGTCACAGCATGCAACACTGGCATCCTTTGCTGCCGTGTATGTCTCGGTGAGTAAAAGTCAGTCATTTAAAAGTATTCAGGCACTTTCAATTCAGACTAACAGATAAAAAAGCTGCACTCATGTCACCTTCTGTGAAAAACTGAACCTGATGTGGGGATAAAAGGACTACAGCACTCTACTGTAATTTGTGCTGCAACATCCAGATGCCTTCAAATAGTTTAGTGGACCTTGTCAAAGTAGCAAAATGGAGTGTTGACCCCTTTGAGTTGTGTGTTTGTGTTTGTGTTTGTATGTAATTGTCCATTCGAGGGTAGGAATACAACAATTTGTGTCTTTACATGTTTACATGTTCAACAAAATGCTGTTAAATAGCAAAAATATCATTCTAATTTTTCTTTGCTCTTGAAAGAAAAAGACAAACCAACATGAACCATGTGCACATTATATGTTGACAGAATGCCAATAAAGGCATTTACATTTGCATAAAAAATAAATTGGCTAATTTAGATGTCAAAGAATGTGTTTACATGCACAATCTTACCCCAAATTTGCATAAAGAGCTTAAAATGTGTTTGGCCATGTAAATAGTGTTCTATTGTCAGTTAAGGGTCATAAAGTTTTTTTGCCCATTACTCTGCATGCAAACACCTTTACTGATGTTCTGGCAGGTCATTCAATGTGTTATTCAATTATTCGATCTCTTTTTAAGTTTTAACATTAAACATTTGATGTTTTAACATCAAAGTTTTAACATGATCAATCTGAAATCATGAAAAATCCATATAGCTCTCTCAAGCTCATTTGATTCATTACATAAAACAAAGAATCACCTGTTATTTATATTGAGCAGTTTCGCTTAAACCCTTATGAATTTCCGTGACAAGATCACAGTTTAAGCTGTTTAAATGAACTTACATTGTCGTCTTAAATGGATAGTTCACCCAAAAATGAAGGTTCGGAACATCTTGAGGTTGAGTAAATGATGACAGAATTTGTATTGTTGGGTGAACTATCCCTTTAAGTACAGTCAGTCTATTAATCTTGAGTCAGTGGATGCTGACTCGTTTCCTGGGAATTGTACCGACCAACTCACAACTCTTGGGTCTTCCCCGTCACAAAATACTCAAATGATTAAAATGCGCTTCATTGGTGTAGCGATAATGTGCTCTATGATACACTCAAATCAGCTGATTCATGTTCCCTGTGGTTAATTCATTTTTTTCTTAAGTGTTTGAAGATTATTATAATTATCAAAGTGTCTGTGAACATTTTCAATGAAAAGCGTATGGTTCTGGCTCACTATACCTGATTCCGCTTCAGCTTGGAAACATCACAGCAAATCTGTCATCGTGATCATCTCTTTCTTGTGCAGATGTACTTCAACAGCACGTTGACGGACTCATCCAAACTGCTGAAGCCTCTTCTGGTCTTCTCCTTTATTATCAGTGCCATCATATGTGGCCTAACCCGCATTATTCAGCACAAGAACCACGCCATTGACGTTTACCTGGGCTTCCTGCTTGGAGGGGGCATCGCTGTTTACCTAGTGAGATGAATATAGGCATTTTATTATATATCTCATAGCATTTTAAAGCATCTTCATCAGATAAAAGGTCTTGGTAATCTATTTAAAAACATAAAAACCATGATTTAGCCAACTAGTTGCTGGATCAGATCTCTGTGTTGGTTTTGGAACAACATTCCCATCAAACAATCATAAGCCAAGCTCCACACTGTAGCTCTTTCTTTCCCCTAAAATGAGTAGGAATCAGATTTGTTTAATTCTCCAAACTCCAGCCTGAGCCTAACCATAAAATCAGAACAGTTAACAGCAAAGTTGTTCCAGGACCAAAAAAGGATGTTGATCCCGGAATATGCCCCACTTGGCAAACCCTTATTATTAAGTATGTTGGGAAATTCCAATTAAATATTGTGTTTTGTCTGTCCAGGGTTTGTTTGCTGTAGGGAACTTTCAACCGAGCAAGGAGAAAAGGACAAGTCAGTTTCACATTCGGGATTCTCATCGAACTATGGCTGACCTGTGTCATCAAGGTCACCACCTCCCTGCCAAGAGCTGCAGTGGCAGTGACGGCCTCTCATCTTCATGCTCCGATGGCATCCTACACCGCAATGCCCAACACCACCAGGCAGGACCTCCAAGCAGCCTGAAAAAAACTCGCAGAGATGTGGAGGTCATTAATACTCGCAGCCCTCCACACAAGGAGAACATGGTGACCTTCAACACTTTGCCGAGAGTGCATACGCCCGCCATGGACGAGTCTGCCTTCCGGAACGCCACCATCCACACGTCCTCGGTAGATTCGAGTCGATCCAAGCAGCTGCTGTTGCAATGGAAGAGTAAGAATGAGAACCATAAACATTCCCTGCATGCCATGGAAGGTGGACCAGGACAGTCTCCTCCAAACTGCATGGATGTCCGCTACAATTCTGAACCCTCAGCTGTGGGGATCAACGGTGAACATCAGGGACCTGGAACCCCATATCTAAAAATGGCATCTGGAAGTACAACACTTCCAAGCAACCCCAGCGGAATTGCTGGCGGTGCTCGGATAGCCATCCAGTCTCGACCTGGTTCCTCGCAGTTGGTCCACATCCCAGAGGAGACGCAGGAGAACATGGGCGGCTTGCCAAACAACTCCCGTGACAAATGGCTGAAAAGCATGGAGAGGACTGTGGAGAAGGGCGGTGAGGTACCGGTGGTTAGGACTAACTCTAATGGCCAGCCGCGCATCATGCAAGTCATTGCGATGTCCAAGCAGCAAGGTCTCCTGCAGGGAAGCTCTCCCAGTTCTGAGAGCAGCAGCCACACCAGCTCCACAGCACCGCTCCAGCGCTACAAGAGCCTAACTGAGGAGTCTGGAGGTCAAGGCAGCACTGGAGCCATCATTCGGGTGGAAGCCCATCCGGAGAACGGCCGACCCCTGGTGCATGCGCACTCCACGGATGGAAGTGGCTCCTGGACGTGGAAGTCCCAAAGCAGCTTAAGACAGTCATTTGAGCTTAACGACTTGAATCGGGACTCGGAGAGCTCTGAATCCGTGAGAGATGGGAACAGTTCTACAGACAAAAAGAGCTCTACGGACAGAAAGAAGAATGGCTCTAATGCTCCTAAACCCGTCGCTGTGCCAACTGTCCCAACTGTCCCTATTGTATCTACAGCAGGCAGTAACCACCATCCCATCCAGACCATTTCCACCATCCGGGTCACTCCCATGGAAATGAATGAAACTGGTCCTGGGAGCCACGACTCCAGCTTGCGTAGAAAAACCAGGATTCTCATCCCTGAAAGAGGAAACAGTCCAGATAATACCAGGAACATTTTTTACAAGGGAACATCCACCACCCCTGTTTTTAAAGAGTAGTCAGTCATTATCTTGACAAAACAAACAAATGAAGAAACCAGAAGAGGTTGGGTGTTTTTACATAGACACATTTGCTATGTTTTACACAGTTATGCATGAGATGATTCACTGACTTATATACTTATAAATATATACATGACAGAAAGAAAAGCACAAAATCCAGGTTTTGGTCGTAATTCTGTTTACTTTTGTGGTAATAACATTGTAAACATATGACAGTATATCACATGGAAATGGTCTTACCTTTTATGACACACTGTGAAGATGAAACTGTGACTGTGCCAAGTTTGAACTGCAACACTGTATTCAAGTATTTAACATCACAGATATCTAAAAGATTTTTCATATAGTCATAATTTCATATACATCATTCACTTATTCACACAATGATAACTATGCTTGCTAGCTGAAACTCTTATTTTTGTATTCTGTAAATAACTTTTAAACTTGGTGCTGCCCAATTCTAAGAACATTATGTAAAAAAAATGGACAAATTAGAAAAAAAACAGATCTTGAAATAGAAGAAAAATACTGTTTTCCAATCTGTGCAGTGCACTCCTCTGAAAACTGTCATTTTAACTTTCTAATGACCATAAGTGCTTAGAATATTCTCTGTAGCAAATGATAGTCATAAAATGACATGCACTTCACGTTTACTACTTGCAATACAAATACTTAACATACTCTATGTATCTGTAGGAATTTGTACGTAAAAAGTACGTTCATGTATATTTCAATAGACACATAAAAGGCTTACGTTTTAGAATTGGTCCATACAAGGATAGTGTATGTAACCGTGTCAATCCAAACATAAAAAACACTTTACGTACAAATACCAAGGAATACTAATGAGATTAATTTCTTCCAACTAATGTCTATCTCCCACTCTTTTCTCAACTGTATATTTGCATAACAGAATTAACTGTACTGTTTTCCAAAAGATCATTCTGATTGTATGTCAGTTATTTTAAGGTTAGCTGCAATAGTAGCAAGACAATATTCCACAATGATTACCTAACTGTGGTTATACCACTGTGAGCTCCAGCTTTTTAGGCCAAACAGTCATATTAAATGTTTTATACACTTGAGTAGCCCACTAAGAAAAGAAAATGGCTTTACTGTTCACAAAGTGATTCGCAATGAGCAAATGAGCTCATTAAATCTAGTGTCATCTTAGCTGTTAAAAACTACAGCAGAGGCATTTAATTCCATGTTAATTTACTGTGTAACGTTTTATAAACTGTAAATTAATGTGCCAAATGGTATTTTAAAGAGAAGATTCTGTTTTGAAACATTTCTATAGAAGTCTGTATTCTTATAAACCACAAAACTCTTTCAGCACAGCTGTAGCCAATGCATGGTAGTTTGATATTTCACATTTATTTTTTGGTTTCCTTTTTGTAAATTATGCATATGTGTAGCAGCTGCAAGTGTGATTATTTATACTGAATATAAACTACTTGTTGACAATCTTTATAGATAAAGTTATTTTAAATCACACCAGAATACACTGTATGTTACATCTAATTTGTCAAGAGATTGTTTGGATACCTGTTAATGCGCTAATGATTTTAGAAATGCATTAAGCATGCTGGTAGCAGTGTGTGTGTTTTCCGAGAAACATTTTACTCTGTAGCACTCTGTGTAACTATCATCGACACAGTGATGTGAGATTCAGTTTGGATAGGAATGAATCCAGTCGAACCTGTTACAGTGATGTTACGTGTTAATGTTGCGGCGGCCTGACAGAAAAATAATGTCAAACTCTGTTAATACACAAACAGTTTGTTTCTAACGTAACATGGTTCTGTTTCCCTCCAGTAACATGGTAGATGAATAAAAACTGTGCTGTATCAGTGTTTGAATAAACATTTGCCATTTAACACTGCTGAGTCTCTTCAATCATGAATTGCCTCCACATTTGCAATGGCACTTTCCACAAAAAAAGTGAACAAAAAGATGAACCTTCATTTAGTTTGACCAAAAGGTCAAACTAAATATTACATGAGGTGTTTTATTTTCTATTTATTTTATTTGAGGTATGCCATTATTGTTTTATTTTATGTCTGAATATAATTTAAAACCCAATTTGTGTTTTATGCCAAAATTACATTGTTTATGACACTTAATTGCTGGATACAGTCAAAAACATCAAGGCTACTGAAGTACCTTATTCTTGGAAAGTGCCTTATACTTTGTTTCTTCGTCACTACTGTCATAAACAATAATGATCAGTCAGTGAAGAACAGTCAACAGACATACACGAATATGTATGTATTATGTTTGAAAAAAAAAGTAACATTTTCAAACGCAAAATTAAGGCATAACAACTTTAAATTGCTGCCGTTGGTCTTTTGTCCATCCTCGAAAATACACTCTGTCAAAAAATTAGCGTGGTCAGATAACTCGCATCCTTTCCCCTACACTAGATCGCTTGCATTAAGCAAAGCAAATCTGGCATGCAACGCTTTATCCATGGCTAGCATTTAATGAGGATGTTTTAAAAGAAATATTAATTTCACACTGGATCAAGAACGTTCAACGCCACACAAACACACACAAAGCTGCCTTGGTGATGTGGAAACGCTGGTCTCGTTGAGACTGCCATGTGTAATTATCATCGTACAGTAAAAAAGTAGGTCAGTGAATTGACCTAAATTGAATGTGAGCGCTGCCAGATACAACTCGTCTCTTATGAACCCTTAAAGTAAACCAAAGGAAAATAAAACTATATAAACAACAACGGCAGCTCTGTCACACAGAAACACTTTACATTTTCTAGACCAGGGATGTCCAATCCTGCTCCTGGAGGGCCACTATTCTGCAGAGTTTATTAAACACACCTGAACCAGATAATCAAGGTCTTATAGGCATACTAGAAACTTCCATGTAGGTGTGTTGAGGCAGGCAGGAGCTAAACTCTGCAGGACAGTGGCCCTCCAGGACTGGGTTTGGACACTAGACCAAACATTAGTGAAGTAGTAGGCTACTTGTGGTTTTCAGTTCTCAGTTTAACATCACAACAGACATCACAACAAACAGAATCGCTGATATGAAATATACTTACAGACACTTTCTCTTAGCTTAAAAGATTCCCTAGTGTGTGAACATGTTTTACTTCAGTCTCTACAGTCTCCATATGAAAAAGGACCCTAGTTTTTTTGTAGCAATCATAATTTAAGTGTATATGTATATAGCTAGTAACCAGAAAAACTGGATAGCCTTTCATTATTGTGGTTCGATCAATGTAACTGTAAAACAAACAAACAAAACATAGCTACAACTGCTACAGTTGTAATAAAAAGGCATTCAATCCCCTCATTTCCCTAATAGGTTATTATAAATACCAAAACACTGGGATAGTTAGCGATATGATGAGGAAAATCCATAACACGTTTATTTTCATGCTAACTTACTTCAATACAGACAAGCTTCTTCAAAAGCAGCCAATATCCTTGGCTAAAATACTAGTCTGTACTACTTGTGTTCAGTTAACATGGGAGTGCTAACCAAAAACCTATTAGGCTACAAGATCTTGAAATCTGTAAAGCTAACATGCTAATGCTAACGCTGTGGGTTCCCAATGACATTACAGCTTCTGAATGCAAGCAACTTATTATTTGGCATTCCTTGTGTCTGAAAGATGAGGAATTTTGTTTTGGATATGTATTGTTGAATAATGATATCAATTGATGATTAACGTAAGATGGTTAACATTCAAACAATACAAGTGGGATAAAATATGCATAACTGATACAGTAGATGGAAATAAGAATGAGTGTTCAGGTGATGGCAAAACTTTAGCTAACCTAACAGTGTTTGAAAGAACTCATATAAAATCAGAGGACATGAAATTCATAAATAGAGCTAGCTAAAGTGGTATCATGGATATTTAACACCTTTGCTTACGAGTGCACTTTTTTCATAAATCAAAGCTCACACAATTTTGAAGCAATTAAAAACATTATAATTGGCTAACTGCGCATACACAACTATAATATAATATAAAGTATTATTTATAAATAAATAAGATATAAAATATTTTATATATCATATAAAATCAATATAAAAATATTACTTATAGATAAAATATAATATTATTTATATAGAAATAATATAAATAAATATAAGGCAAATATCAGAATGAGTAAAAGAGTTGCAGGTTTAGCCTAAATTAAGGTATCATTTAGTAGGGGACATGATTGCAGGTCTAAAATACCTGCTAGCTGTTAGCCATTAGCACTCGCATTCATCTCAATGGCAACTGGTCGGCTGGTGCAGAACATCCGAGAAGATTTGTAACCTGCTGCCATGTGCTCATGAATTATCTGTTTGTACACAACAGAATTTTTTTCAGTCATTGTAAATGGAAAACTGAGATCAATAATCTTCAAAATGTCTCATGAATGACATGATGGTGCTAAATAATGAAAGAGTTTTCATATATTGGTGAATAACTCTTGTTAGATCAATTATGAAAGTCACATGGCAACTTGATGTCCTTGTACGAAAGCTGCAACCTTCCAATGCCATTAGAAATTGAAATGCTAATGAATGCCCTTTAAATGCAGCAGTGATCTTAATGGAACAACCATTTGTCAGCACCACGTTTTATTTATATATAACTGATTTCATATTTAACTCACAGCATATGAGCACTGAAAGGTCAAAACTTCAAGTCATGTTGTATAGGATATGGGCAACAATGACACAGAAGAAATAAAAAATACAAATAAAACAAAGCCCTGATTGTAAGAGCAAGAAATGCATTGGGGGCTCAGGCCAGGCACTTACACATGATTTCTTCACACTTTGGGTGATAAATGACCTGTAGGCATTTACTGTATGGATCAGTACACAATGTAAAATGCAATTGATTCCAGCATTAAAGATCTTCCCAATATTTGCTGCAGTTTATGTCCAACAGCGTTTACTAATGGACCGTTGCAACTGTCTAGCAACATTCAGTTTTACCGTAAATAAATAATAAATAGAATATTATTATAATAAATAATAATACAAATAATAAAATACCGTTTCTGTATTTGGTTGTGTTGTGAGTATTTGGAGCACCCATGTGTTGTAAAACTGATGAAGATGTTTTCTTAATTTGCGGGTGTTTTTCTATTTGCATGTGTTTTATTCAGTTGCAGCGTTTTGAGCTCTCTCAGCCACCGTACATTTTCCTACATAATGTATTAAGCTATTTTTCAGTGAAACAAAATATTTAATGAGATTTTTTTCTTTGAGGTATATTCACATTTTGATTTAAAATAATCAAATTATTTGATTTGAAATAATTCGATAATATTTTTTACTGCAGAACTGGTAAGCATTGTGGAAGAAAATACTGCAACGTGAGTCTATTCTGATCTACATTTAACAATAATAAAATGTTTCTCAAAAAGACACCATTGCCATTTAAAATAAGTTTTAGGACCAAGAAAGGACCTTGTTCAGATGTAC